TGGAATCATTGCAAATGAAATATATTCTTTTGTGGTATGAATCCTTTAACGTACATTTACAAATTATTGAATCTACAAACCAAAGCTTAGAAATGCTAGCTTTGTTTACATTCATTTTGCATCTTTTTAATTAAAAGGAGATAGATAACTTTGAAAACTAATTAACTAAATAATTATATGGAAATTAGTTTTCACCTAATTATTTGATTGTGAGGTTGAATAGAAAAGTATTTTCTATTTTTTATTGGTTTTTGATTTAAAAAAATATTAATAAATTGAATAATCTTATGTGAACCTTAAGAAATAATTTGTGATCACTTGGGATTGGGGTGTCATACATTTGGCATAACAAAGCTAGCAATACATATGTGAGCCTCAAGAAATAATACAATGGCATCTTGTGGCAATCAATAGCCTGGCCAAGGCTAAAAATATTGTTCGAATTTGGGTGCTTTGATCTTTAATAGATTGATTGGTGAGAATGATTCATATTTTCGTACCTTACGTCGAACAAATCCGCCGGTGACTGCGCCGTTTATTACCGTCCAAAAGTTTCCGCCGGAAAATCCGAAGGTATTCGCGTGTTTTCCCGTAGTGTCAACAAAATGTATAAATAGACAATATGCTTATTGATTGGTTGTTATTATAATGTCTGTTTTACACAAGGTATATTATAGAAGGGGCATGGGAGATAATGCTACACAACACATGTTATAGAATAGGCCTGCATGAGTTTGGATTGGTGGATATTAAGCAAGTTTAGGGGCTGTTTGGTTTGCTGTATTTAAAGTGTAAAGTAATCCAAATGCAGGGGTATTGAAAATTTTGGTGTTTGGTTTTGAAGTAAAGTAAAATTTTGATGTAAAAGGAGTGTATTCCAAATACCTCAACTAGTGCATTTGTGGTGTACTCCAAACCCGCTCAAATCGGGTGAGGTACGAATACTGAGCGCAAAAGATTGAAATGTTGGAACAAGGCGCTAACTAGACTCTTCGTCTCTTGCAAACACTAGCCTTCTCTATCATTCTCTCTCCTAAAATTTAAAGAAACGAAATCCCTTCCTGTTGCTCATCCTCACATAATCCATCTCTCATGAGATCTGTAAAGCTCTTCCATCTTCCTAATGAAATCTAGTCTTTGGAGGTGAGCGCTTTCTCTCTTGCAAAATTTAGTCTACAGGTGGTCATCAAGTCGGCGATTGGTGGGGATTTGCGGATCCTCCAAGGAGTCATCGGGCATTTCTATCTGGATCAGGTTCGTGTGCTCTGTTCTCTCACAACTTAAGCAGCCGCAAGCCTCAACTCTCCATCTCACGTTAGGATCCCTCTTCTTCTTGTTGTGTGCGATTGACACACTTCAGCAGCCACCCGATTCCACACCCAAGTAGCCATATGGCTCCAATTCCGACTCCACAGCAGCAACCCAAGTCGCTGGTCTCCGACTCCAAGCTCGACTACGACCACCTCACACTAACTATGGCCTTATCTATTATAGCTTTCTTTTGGAGGATTTTTCTTGAAAGCGATTGATGCTCTCAATGATGTTGTTTACAATCTACCATTTAGGTTGAGTAGTTCTTCATCTATACTTTCTTGAAATTCTTAATGAATAATTAGCTTATAATAACTATTCGCTATACTAACTTTGGCAAAAAAAAAAAAAATTAAAACATGCTAACAATACATTTGTGCGTCCTCTTACAATTGTTATGAACTATCACAAAAGTAGGGGTGTCAATATTTGAAAGGACCCAAAAATCCGACTCGAATTCGACCAGAAAATTTTGGGTTAGGGTCAACCAGGATCCGAAATGGGTTGGGTTCGGGTTCAACTATTCAACCTACTTCAAAAATCCGATCGGGTTTGGATTGACCCTTTGACCCAAAATTGACCCGTTTTTTACCCGAAAATTCATTTTTGACCCGGAAACCCGAGATTGACCCGTTTTTTACCCATTTATGACCCAAAAAGCGGAGATTGATCCATTTTTTTACCCGAAAACTAGCAATTTTTTCACAGGCCCATGCCATTTGGGTCATGTCAGGTTGACCTGGACCCCAAGCGGGTTGGGTTTGGGTCCAAAAAATTAACCCGTTTGCAAAAATGGGTCGGGTTTGAGTTTACCTGAATAGTACTGGGTCAGTTTGGGGTTTGACCCAAACTCGACTCGTGAACAAAAATTGACACCCCTACACAAAAGTATAAAAAGAGATGTATTACTCAAAATAATCATAAGAATATCCATTAATCTTCTAATGATCTTGAGGTTGAAATCTATAGATGATAATTACTTAATCAAAATGTACATATTATTATTTTCTTTTTTTTCACCTTTTCTATTTTCTATTATTTCATCTCAAGTTGAATTAATTTTTCAATGGTATTTGGATAGCTTTGCTTATTTAGACTACTTACAAGTAGGGGAGTAAAAAAATTTAATTAGTGGGCGCATAAATTGATACTTTCTCAAATATCTTAAATCTTTTTAGATGATTTTTTTTTTGCCTTTTTAGTGATATCAATTTTAAAAAAATTTTCTAAAATGATATTTCTTAATAAATTATTAATTCTAAACTTTTATCATCTATGAAAAAAAGTACACTAAAATTTCTCAATTTGATTATTCTTTGAAAATAAGTCAATTTATTTTTTATAAGTTTTTATGCTAAGTTAACTAAAATAAGCAAAAATTAAAGCATAAATTCTTTGTGGCCCACCGGATAAGTTCCTCTTTGGGCGAAACAATTCTATGCGGAGATGTGGTGATTTCTGATTGGCATCTGAACGACGTACGGTGTCCGCACAAAACAATTTATCCCTCATTGGAGGACCAACGTTATTGGGTTCGAACCCTAATTGTGGAACAATTATTAGGTCCGGTGACCGGACGTAGCTCTACGTGCAGTCACCACTGAGATCGCGCCACGTGCTCTTACTCTTTACCGCGCGGCCTGACGACTTAACCCGGACCGGAACCCGGGAATGCTTTGTTCAGGTATTGCTAGGTATTACTTGATATTTGGTCGGTATTGCTCGGTATTGCTAGGTATTGCTTGGCAATAACGTGAAATACCGCTCTGTGAAGACCAATACCGAGCAATACTGAGTAATATCGAGATTTTCTAGAAAAACTCGGTATTGCTCGGTATTACTCGGTATTGCTCGGTATTACTCGGTATTGCTCGGTATTGCTCGGTATTCGTCTTCACATAATGGTATTTCTTGTTATTCCTAAGCAAAATTGACAAATACATAGCAATACCGGGTTGTCATGAATTTAAAAACGCACGTGCGACATACCCACTATTCGCCGGGTCGGGTCCGCGGTTTTGTGCCTGCTGCGCGATCTCAGTGCCGGTCGAACGTAGCTCTACGTCCGTTCACCAGACCACATAAAAGTTCCTAATTGTGTCGGTTTTTTTTTTTATGTTTAAAATAAGTTATTACGGGCTTTCATTGATGGGCCTGCGGGGCCAATGTTCAGTTTCTTTGCAGGCCATCAATGTTGCTTTCGGTTTTTAATAATTAAAATAAATTTCTGTGGGCTTTCATCCCTAGGATCCCCATTGTAGCTCCGCTACTACTTACAAGATAAGAATATGAATTAGATTATATTTTAATATTAGATTAATATTAATCTGCAACATGACAATTTTATTTTACTATTATATTATATTTTAATTTGTGCACATTGTTTATTTTCATTAAAAAAAAAGTTTTAGTTTTTTAAAAATTTTTATTTAAATAAATTAATAAAATGATATTATTTATAATTTTTTAATATGAATTTTATTTTTTTGTTCAGTGCCTTTTTATTTGCATACAAATGAATATTAATAATTATAATTACTTAGAGTTACAAACACAATAATTTTTTTCCCTTTTAACAATGATAATATAACTAAAACATTAATTATATGTGATACATCATCAAAAAATTATCTTGATCGGGCACGAATCTCAAGGCAAAATCAAGTTGGAAACTTCCAAATTAAAATTGAGTCCATTCGAACTCTGATTTGAACAAACTTGTAGTTAAACTGGATGTCTCTGAAATACGAACCCAACGACAGCAAATTCGACTCAATCCGAACCAATTTGGGTCCAAATAAAGGACCAAAAGCATTGTTGGAAGATTCAAATCACAATTTGGACTACCAAATAGTTTACAAACATGACATGCTTATAGTCAAATCGAGTGACTCGACGAGGCAAACCCAATGAGCTTAAGATCACGGAATTCCAACATCATTAAGACATTCAAATGTCAAACGAACGATCCATGATCAAGGGATTGAACATCGATCGTCTATCCAAATCACTCCACATTTACCATTGATCTTCATCCCATTTATGGGCCACACTACTCTAGGAAATATATAAATATACCCCTCCTTTCTCTTGAAAAGGGCCCCTAAGCCTAAGGAGAAAAGAGAGAGATCGGAGATTGCTCTTGCTTCTTTGCCTCCTCGACCACGGCCCGGAGTTCCGCCAGATCACCACCTAATGCCCGGAGTTCCGTGGCATCACTACCTGAGGCCCTGAGCTCTGCCGGACTACCACTTGAGGCCCTGAGTTTCGCCTGACCACCACCTGAAGCCTTGAGCTCCGTTGTACCACCAACTGAGGCCCTGAGTTCCACTAGACCACCACTTGAGGCCCTGAGTTCTGCTGAACCACCACTTGAGGCCCTGATCCGTCGGACCACCACCTAAGGCCCTGAGTTCCACCGAACCACCACTTGAGGCTCTGAGCTCCATCGGACCACCACATGAGGCCCGAAGTTCTGCCTGACCACCACCTTGTTAAGAGAGTTCCTATTTGCATATTTTATCTTCTTGCAACTTATATTATTTTGATGATTCCAAATATTATTGTTTTAAGCTTTATTTTCTCCTAACACTTTTTTGGAAAAATTATTTTTGCTCTTGTGTGGACTAACATTTCAGGATAATCGAACTCCAGACTAATGAAGACTTCAAATCAAAATTCATCATGAGATAGTTTGTAAATTGAAGTTTGTAATTTTTATTATAATTGAGTTTGAGAAAATATAATTTTAATTGAATAAGCTTAGCACACACACTTGGGGAGATCTTTAAAAATCACACTGATTGTATAAGACGAACCTTATTCGTACGGGACGATCAAATCAGTTAATCCCCTCGGAAGAGCAATGGAACGAATAGGAAGTGAGAAAATTTTTCTAAGTCTTGATCGTCCAGACGAATCTCTCAATTCGTCCCGGGATGATCTGCTCTAGATTCTCACTTTGTGCTGAATAGTCCAGACGATTCATCCTGTCCGTACCAGGATGAAATGCTCTATGGAAAATTTTCTTCTAGACAAACTTCTATTCATCCGAGGACGAAATGCTCTCTGGAAAATTTTCGTCCAGACAAAATCCTATTCGTCCCAGGATGAAATGCTTTCTGGAAAATTTTTGTCCAGACGAGCTCCTATTAGTCCCAGGACGAAATGCTCTCTAGAAAATTTTCGTCCAAACAAACTCTCATTCGTCCCAAGATGAAATGCTCTGTCTTTTGAAATTTTGGTAACGTCCTGCAGTTTGTCGAAACCAATCCATGAAATAACTGTTCGTACCAGACGAACATAGTTCGTATGGGACGATGATCGGGTATGAAGTCAGTTCGTATCAATATATATATTGGGTTCGTATGTAACTGATTTAAGTAAATTCGTACGGGACTATCCACTATGTACAGAATTGAATATCACGAGTTTTTGAATGATTTTTCGTGTCTTTCCTATATAAAGTCCAAATAAAATTGTCTCTTAATCTTTTTTCCTACTGATCTTCGTGCCAACTGAAAGGAGAGTTAAGGACAGAGTGTGAGAGAGTGTTTGAAAGAGGATTCTTACTACTGGAGCGTGAAGGATTCACTTGGTACTTAAAGGTAAGAATCTCTACTTATAATTTGTGATTACTTCACTCTTTTCTCTCGTCCTTCTAGATTTCTTGTGAGAAGATCTGTCAAGGAGATTCGGTTCTCTGCCGACACTTGGAGAGTGTGAACAGACGAATGGTTCTCTACCTACACTTGGAGAGTGTGAAAGGACGAAGGGTTCTCTGCCTACACTGGGAGAGTGTGAAAAACGAACGGTTCTCTGCCAACACTTGGAGAGTGTAAAAGGACGACAGTTCTCTGCTGCACCGGGTAGTGGTGGAAGATAATTTTGTAAAGGCTTCTCCGCCTTGCTGTGGGTTCAAAAGGAGAGTCACTAGTGATATTAGTGCAATACTCAAAGTGTGCCTCCGGGGAGTGGATGTAGGTCATGTTTGACCGAACCACTATAAGTCTTATGTCTTTTTATTTTCCGTTGCTTTTGTTTTTACTGTTTTAACTTGTGGTTGAAAAATGTTTTCTACAAAATTCACTAAAGTTATTTTTGGTATAAAAAAAGAGGGATAAATTACCCCCCCTCTTGGTTAGCCGCTGGGACATAAGCTTAGGTTTAACAACCTAATTTATATTAAACAAGTTTCAACACACCTGATGCCCATACTTCAGCCAGACTAACACTTGAGGCATGGAGTTCTGTCGGACCACCACCTCAGGCCCGAAGTTCTGCCGGACCACCACTTAAGGCCCGAACTTCTGTCGGACCACCACCTAAGGCCCGAACTTCTACCTGACCACCACTTGAGGCCCGGAGTTCAGCCGAACCACCACTTAACACCCGAAGTTCTACCAAACCACCACTTGATACTTGAAGTTTTGTTGGACCAGCATTTGACGTCTGGAGTTCCACCATCTGAAGCCAGACTTTTGCTGAACCATCGCCCGAAGCTGAAGTTCTGCCAAACCACCTCCAAGCTACCAACTAATGCCCGCATTTTCAAGTAGTACCAGACTTCTGCCTGTCCACTAAGTGACGCTGGACTTCCATCCCCGTTTGTCACTATATTGCAACCGTACGGTTGACATTTGTAATATGATCGCCTTTAAGGACGAGTTAGTCTATTGTAATCTACTCAAATTTTAATGGAATCATTTTCAATTGGGCCAAATCCCATGGTTTTTCCCTTTTCCAAGGTATTTCAAGTAAAAAAAATCTTGTGTTATCTATGTGTGAGCTGGATATTCGTACAACACTAATACGTAGGATTTTAACTCTATCGTCGTGTATACTCTAGTCTGTAACATTATGAATTTTTATTTTAAAATTGTTATTATCCGAAAATTGTTGTATATATATTTTATATACAAACTATTGAATTTTAAATATATTTTATATTCATATTTTTTAAATAAATTTGCTCACAAACGAACCAGTTGAGTGAAAACTTTTTCAATCTTTGCTTATGAATTCATAAAATTAGCTCCATATAGTATTTTAATTTTATTTTATTAAGTGAGAATAATCATATGCCTTCTTGTGATCTTTATATAAAAAAAACAGGGTTATTTATCTGCAATCATATTTTATTCTCTTAAAAACTAAATTCATCTGCAATCATATTTTCTCTTACATTAGTTTTTTTTTTTTTTTTTTTTTTTTTTTTTTTTTTTTTAAATTGGGGGCAAAGCACATATCATTAATTATAAAAGAAGAAATACAACAACTCTAACACCATTTCTAAGTAATGGTAAAGAGAGCTGTAACAAAAAATAAAACCACAAAAATGGGAAAGACAAAATTCGAGGGGGACTCAGGATAAAAGGATCCGATTGGGATGGACTAGCACAATATCATAAGAACATTAGTCAATAGTCCACAAAAACTGCAATTGAAGGGCCCCTTGAGGGTGCTGAAACAGCCAGACCATATGCATATGGAAGATAGGAATCAAGGCCATCCAAGGGGAATCCAAACCGATCGGATCCACACATCATCTTCCTAGAAAGGAGCTGAAGAGAGAGGGGAAGACACAAAAAATATCTTTAGTATTTCTCCATCTAGAAATCCTCACAGAAATAGAACGGATAACTTTGCTAGGATGAAGAGAGGGGAGGCAGCAGTGTTCCCAAATCGTCTATCATTGCGCTCTCTCCACAAAAAATAAATAGAACCACAAATGACCAAAAAGCATAAATTCTTCTCCCAAACCTTATGGTGTTGTAATTCATCAATATACTCAAACATTTATAAAAGAGCCGGCCTCAGGAGAAATCCATCCAAAAAAGAAAGCAGCGAGGAGACAATAGAAACTGAAAATTCACATTGAAAAAAAAGGTGCAGCGAACTTTCATTCTCATCCTTGCAAAAGGGGCAAACTGTATCAATTTAAATATTCTTTTTTTTTTTCAAAAACGTCTGCCGTTTTAAGGCCCCCAAGAATTGCCACCTAGGTGTAAGAGGAGTACCTAAGAATGTACCTCTTATTCCAAATAAATTTAAACCATGGAACCATATCCAGCTTAGAGAAGAAATGCAATCTAAAGGATTTAAAACTTGGCTTAACCGACCCCATCCACATGAACTTTTATTCTATCCAGTGAACGCACGCTCCTCTACGTTCGGATCTAGGCAAAAAAAGCACAATACTGAGTACCGAGAACCGAGTTGTACCGAGTTTTTAAAAAAAACTCGGTATTGCGCTGTTTTGGTCTAAAACCGAACGTAGAGGAGCGTACATTCACTGGATGTAATAAAAGTTCCATCCACATAACCTTATTAGCAAAATTAGCCAGAATAGGAACCAAACTGATTTTTAAAGCAGCATGAGATGGAATGATATTAGGGAGAGACCAAACCCCATCCCTAATGTAATTGTGGAGCCAAACAGGAAGGGACCCTGGCGGTTGCAAAAATTCAGAGACAGCAATGCCATCAGACCAAGGGTCCAATAAGAAGGAAAGCTTACAATCAGAAGAGGAAACATTAAGCTTAATGTTCTCCTTAATGATAGAAGCAGCGAGGCAGATAAATTTCCAAAACTTAGAAGATGAGGATGGAGGCTGTTTCCAAGGCGAGTGATACTTAAACCGAAACCAGTCAGCAGCCAAAGAGTCCAAAGTGAGAAATCTCCATATAAGGAACACCCAAAGCCATGATAAAGAGATTGGGTAGAAGGGATACCCAAACCCCCATAAGATAAAGGGAGGCAAGTCTTATTCCAAGCAATAAGATGAAGCTTTTTATCCGTTATGACACCATGCAATAAGAATCTAGAACACAACTTATCAATAAATTTGGTGCAGGCTTTAGGTAAGATAATCCCTCTAATCCTGTAGGCAATCATATTAGCAATGGTGAATATGAGGAATTGTAATCTACCTGCAAAAGAAAGAAATTTTACTTTCCAACCATCAAGTAGAGTAGAAATTCTACTCAGAAGTGGTTGGAAGTGAGTGTAAATCTGATTTTTAGTAGATATGAGAATGCCAAGATACTTGATATAAGAGTCAGCTTGGGAGAAGCCAACATAAGAAATGATATCATTGGGAGCCACACAGTTCCAAAAAAAAAGAATAGAGCTTTTCCCGTAATTAATATGAAGCCCAAAAATAGCCGTAAAGGAAGAAATAGTTTCTTTTAAGCACAAGACATTATCTGTGGAAGCAACCCCTAACACCAAAACATCATTCGCATATAGTAGATGATTGAGATTGGACGTGCCCGATTGAATTCCCAAAAAATTGCTATCCGATCTAAAGCACATGAGAAGGCATCCATCACAATGGTGAAGAGCAAAGGGGAAATAGGGCAGCCTTGCCTCAGCACCGAGGAGGATAAAAAATAGCCTTCGAGCACGTCGTTGATGCATAAAGAAAAGGGAACATAAAAAATGCAACCTTTAATCCAGTTTATGAACAATTAGGGGAAGCCTTTTAAATGCAACCTGGAGATAAGGAACTCCCTCGACACCGTATCAAAAGACTTTTTAATATCCAATTTGGCACAAAAGAAGTTGTTACTAGCCTTTACATTAAATTCCTTCAACAATTCGGAGGCAAGGATGATATTATCAGAGGAAATTCGATTGCTAATGAAACCAGCTTGGCTTCCGTGGATGATATGAGTCAAAAGGTTCTTTAAACAATTTGCCAAAAGTTTAGCAATAATTTTGTAGAACACATTGCATAAAGAAATGGGACGGTAGTCAGCAATGTTAATAGCATGAGATCTGAATGAAGGCTATAGTAGTAGTTTTAACGTGCTGGGGAGATGCCCAGAGGTAAACAAATTTTTTACCGCATTGCAGGCGTGCAACCTAATGATATCCCACATAGATTTGTAAAATTCAAAGGTAAACTCATCAGGGCCAGCAGTGGAGGAGGCCGACCCACCAAAGACCACAACTTTAATATCAGAATCTGAAAAATGGGGCAATGAGTGAATCTCTGAGATGGGGGGTTCCATTCTGGATATTCGAGTTATAGAGATTTTTGAAATATTGAATTACAACATGAGCAATATCATCATGAGACGTGAAATGGCCCCTCATTAGTGGAAAGCTCAATGATTCTACAAGAATCTTTTCGGGTTTTAATCATGGCATAAAGAAAGCCTAGGTCATCTTCCAAGGATAGCCATTTAGCTTTTACCCGTTGGATAATCCAGCTACTCCAGACAGACTGAACTGTAGCAAGAGCGGAGCTAATGCCTTTTAAGGTCTCATTGAGGTTCAAGTCAAGCTGATTATTAGTAAGCATAAGTAGACATTCCCGTTGGCGGCATTGGAGGACCTTGATTCTGGATGAAATAAAGTTAGAACATGATCAATCCTGACATTTCACATACTCCTTAAGATGTTAGAGTTTGGAGTAAAGAACCCCAATAGGACTAACGTTAGGGGTGTCAACTTTTAACCCGACCCGGAAAATCCGGGTTGAACCCGACCCGTTTGATAAACGGGTCGGGTTCGGGTTCGTAGATTTGACCCGTTTGATTAAACGGGTCGGGTCAGGTTGACCCCCGGCGGGTTGCCGGGTCAACCCGACAACCCGTTTAATTTAAAAAAATTTGAAATGTCCCGCCCGGCTGCCCGCTACCCCAGCCCGAGCCGCCCAAACGGGTCGGGTTCGGGTTGACCCGTTTAGAAATAGAAACTGCCAGGGAAGACAAATGTTGCCACAACAAGACCCGATCAGCTGGAGAATTTGCTGCATAGACAATAGACAAGCAAAAGGGATGCCCGATGGCAACAAACACAGTGCCATGAATGAGATGAGGATGAACAATAGAAGGTGAAAAAGAAACAACATTCGAATTCCATTTAATCCAAATCTTCCCAGGAGCAAATAAAGTAACATTATTACAGCTTTCCTCAATAGGAAAAATGAGATGAGAGTTCAACAACCAGGCGTCATCCAAAGCCGAAGAAGGGATCTTTGCTTCTAGAATACATAACCTGATATTAGTTGTAGATTTAGACTTTGTTTTTATCACTTTTTTGCTGGTTTTAACACAATAAAATTTTTTACTAAAAAGTTGCTTTAAAAATCAATAAAAAAGTTGACTCAAATTGGGACGGCATTTTCACTTAATTTAAAAGCAATTTTATAATCTAAAATTTTTTTATAAAAATTTTGTACTAAAAAGTTATTTTAAAAAACACAAAAAAATCCATTTGAAGTTTTGCTTTTTTGTCGCTTTTTAAAAAGTTGTTTTTGAACCGGCTTTTAAAATAACTTTTTAGCATAAAATTTTTCTTGAATTATAAAAATAATAAAAAAATCTTCCCAAGGCCTTAAACACAGAAAACATATCATCAAGGTTTTGCTAAGGAATGTTATTATCATCATTTTTTAATATTTATATTATTTATTTAACGATTAGAGAGAGAGTAGAGAGAGAGAGAGAGAGAGAGAGAGAGAGGTCCATAAACGTAGTTATCCGATAAGCTCATTTACCTAACTTTCACAAAAAAAAAAATCCACCTGGCATCCGTGTACTGCACGCATTTTTTCTACTATATCTTGACATAATTTGTAAGATTCTGAAAATATATGAAGCAAATTTATTATTTAATTATTAAATTATATGACATCTTAAATATTAAAATTAGATAAAATTTTAAATTTTAAAAATCAACATACAGTTATTTTGATCAGAGTTGTGAATAAATTCAATTGACGTTTAACACAAAATATGTTAAGAAAAATTTAAAATAGATTTAAAATTTAATAAAAATAAAATATAAAATTATAAAGATGAATATAATTTTTACATTTAATATAATATATAAAAATTTTATATTGTTAATTTTTATAAATATTAATTCCACCCTTCCAACAACCCAAATTCATAATCCAACCCAATTTCAATCTATATCTAAATAACTTCTAAAAATTAAAGGGGATCTACATACATATGACCTTATACCATTTAATCTTATTTATATATCTAACCTCTAAAATTTTAAAATTACATACATACCACCTATGTATCACTTGCATATGTTAGATATGTAAATAGAATAATATGAACGGATATTTATGTAAATCCCTCATTTTTTAATCCCAAATTATAAGGGAGTTCTTTTTTTATTATTGAATTTGCTTACATAGACTTTTAAATTAAAAATTACAACAAACAAAATTATACTAAAAAAATCATTAAAATAAAATAAATTATATTTTTTATAAAATTAGTCAATTCAACAAGATCAAGACTTGTTTGATAGTTTTTCCATTGAATAGATCAAACCAGCCGATACGATCTGATTTTCAAAATGGTGACGCCTTGTATACATAATAAATTTAAAATTTATTATAAATTATTGTAATATAAATAAAATTTTAAAAAATAAATTTATCAAATTTTGAATTAATAATATATTTAATATTTTTTAAAAATAGCACATAAATTGCATTTTTTTTTTATATATTTCTTGTTGGCAAACTCTCAAACGGAATAGCAAAGGTGAGCTGCACCTGTCACACTTTCAGTCTCTCTCAGCTTTTCCAAGCCCACTTTTTGATCTTCATCCCTTCTCGATAAAATCATCTACATCTGATCGGCAACTCGCCAACTTAACGATTTTACTATGCCTATGCCGTCCCTCAACCCCGACTCCGCCGGCGCCACTGCAGCCGCAGCACAAGCCACCGGAGGATATCCAAAGCGCGATCTCGCTTCCCTTCTCGCCGCAGCTCGCCCGTTCCTACGCGACGAGGCCGACGCCGTCCCTTCCGACCCCGCCCTTTCCACACTCCTCTCCGCACTCCGCGCAGCCGGCGCCGGGGAGTGCTGGCACAAGCACGGCACCTTCCTCGCCCACCTTATTGGTGTCCACCGCATCTTAACCCTATGGGGCGCTCCCCTATCCGTGGCCCGTTGCGGCCTCTACCACTCCGCGTACTCCAACTCCTATGTTAACCTCGCCATCTTCGAACCCGGCGCCACCTCTCGCGACGCCCTCAGCCTCTCTCTCGGCCCCTCCGCCGAGCGCCTCGTCCACCTCTTCTGCATCGTCCCCCGCCAACAAATCATCCACGATTTCCTCCTATTCCGTTACTCCGACGCAGAGCTCACCGATCATCTCATCGCCTCCGCCGATTCGGCCCACCGTGGCATCGAAGAGCCCTGGCGTCAGAAGATCAACGCCCTGGTTCCGCCACAGGGGATTTATGTTAAGCACATAAGAACCGGGGAAGACGTTCTGGTTTCACGCCGGGTGATCGCGGCGTTTTTACTAATGACCATGGCGGATTTCAGCGACCAGTTGTTCGGGTTCCAGGATCGACTCTTTAACAACGAAAACGGCCGGCTTGAATTCTCCGGAAACAATGTTTCCGGCGCTCTGTGGCCGGGGGACGCCAGACCTGGGTTATGGATGAATTCTATTTCACGGATGGGGGCGATCTATAATCTAATGGTGAAGGAAGAAGAGATATACATGGAGGAGAAGAGGAGAGAAGGAAGAAGAGTTGCAGAAGAAGACGAGGACATAGAACTGCTAATTCCGCCGGTGTTCGAGAGCTGCACTAGGGTTCTGGACGCTGACGATCAGAGAACAGCGAGGGACTTGTACTGGGAGGCGGTGGCCGGCGGCGGAGACGGAGGGGAGAAGACGGAGAAGCTGTTGAGGAGCTGTGAGAAGAATCCATTCATTGGAGAGCCGCATGTGGTTCTGGCGCAGGTTTATCTGGGGATGGAGCGGTGGGAGGAGGCGGAGAGAGAGGCGGCGATAGGGCTGAGGCTCATGTTGGAATGGGGAAGCGGATGGGATAAGAGAGTGACTTGGGAGGGCTGGATTGCTTGGGTTAGGGTTTTGCTCTTGAAGGCCAAGGAGAAGGATTGGCCCAACAATGCTTGGGGTATTCTTAATCTTGGCTTAGTTAGGTGAAGGAGTGTATAACATGGCAAATTATTGCGTCTGGTGTCCGGATTAGTCCGGACACCAATCCGGTGTCGAAATCCGGACACCAAAATACATCGGGACCCAGTGTATTTGGGTGACGTGGCATCACCGGATTGGATGTCCGGACATCTAGTGACCGGACGCAATAATTCGCCGTATAACATAATAGTATATAATTGTGTACTCCTACTCATAAATTATATGAGTAGGAGTATATATATATATATATATATATGAAATAAAATGATATGTATGTAAATCCGCCTAGATTAAATTGAGACTCTTCCATTCCATCAATAAATTCATCAAGTAGACATCAAGGGGGTGAATTGGTATTCCAAAAAAATTTGCAATTAATGAAATCTAAATACAACAACAACAACAACATCAAGCCTTTATCCCACTACGTGGGGTCGGCTACATGAATCCTTTTTCTTCATTCTATCATATTAAAAGTCAAATTCTCATTTAAATCTAATAAAGAAAGGTCATTCCTAATATTTTCTAACCAAGTCTTTTTAGGTCTACCCCTACCTTTTTTAACATAAGTCAAATCTGATACTTCTACTCTCCTAACCGGATCATCGGAAGGCCGCCGTTTTATGTGACCAAACCATCTAAGGCGACTCTCTCTAATCTTATCTTCTACTGGAGCAACTCCAACATTTTCACGTATATGCTAAATGTGAAAATAAAAATTGCAATCAAAAGTAAATATGTACAAACCAATTTTTACATAACTTGGCCCTAACTAGCCTACGTTCATACATAATCCTCACCCAAGTTAAAATTCTTCGAGTCCATCAAGGCTTCATTTGAGACAGCTTTCTTACTGTTTTCTAAAGTAGACTCGTTTTGTATTAGAAAGACGTTTTAGAAAGCGATAAAGAAGTTGTTACAAATCGGACCGTTCGAAGATCAACCCAAATACGCCACATCACATGGTACACAGCAGTACCGAGCACCAATGTCGAGCAAAAAAGTAACGTCACACGTTCTACTTCGTCTCCAAATGTCATCCGGTGTTCACACAGAATCACACCACTCCCACTCAATTTCCAAATGCATGCCACCCAATACAAACAATATAAAAGAAAAAAGCAAAATACTAAATTCTCAAGACCTACATATCCAAAAGTACTAAAGCACTCTCCAAGAATAGAACAATTTCTAAAAGCACAAAAATTATCATATCTTTATTAACAAAGGCTCAATCCTGAAATCTTCAAAAGAACATGAACTGATACAAATAAATAGCTGGGAACAAAACAAATACAACTGCACACTCAACAATAGCTGGACATTGTCAAATTACTTATATTGCAAGCATGTACTGTACTCTTTCCAGACAAAGTAAATCAACAATTGCTTCAGATTTTCATCATCATAAACTGTTATGGATTTATTTCATATCAAATGAATCATCAGTTTGGATTCTCTGATCAGGCAAAAGTCTACGATCAGAAACAGAAAATTAAAGGTAAGGAGAATATTTAATTAAGCAGCCGTTAATAGTCCTTCCATCCTTAAAAATGACGGGATTAACTCTTAATAATTTCACGAAGAAAGGGAGAAAAAAGAATTTAAATCACAAAATTGCTCAGATTAATTGAATAATCTTTTAAAGAACAACGGCGGCTTTTTCCTGGGAGATAAGAGGCATAGGACTGGCCAACAGGGGCTCGTAATGATCGGCCCCAGCACCACACCAACCTGAGACAAAAAAAGGGGATAGTATGTTTATAACTAAATTTTTAGGTGATTTAGTTATGTTATTTGTTGATACAGTTCGAAGAATGAACAAAATAAAGTGTTTATATTACAGATTTCCAGCAATTAATAGAAAGGAAAATGGTTTGATTTGAAACAACAACAATGTCGAGTCTTTATCCCGCTGTATGGGGTCTGGTACATGAATTCTTTTTCTCCATTGTGTCATGTTAGGGAGAAATTATTCTGTGCGGAGACCGGATGTAGGACGCAGTCCGGAAACCAACCAGAATGTGCCATGTCAGCAGTACCGAGCCACGGAACCAAGCAACACCGAGAGACGGGTGATGTGGCGCATTTTAATTGGTCTCCGGAAGGCGTTCGGCGTCCGCACAAAATAATTAATCCATGTTAAGAGTCAAAAAGGGGAAAAAACAAAGAAAAACTTAGCCAGCATATCCTATCAAAAATTTATTAGAATGTATTTCTAGTTCAAAATCTTTGTATCGACTTTAAATGAGTGCAAATTTAGATTATTATTTTTATTTATCTTTTTTTTTTCTGAGAAATTTAGATTATTTATATTGTACTCATATTAAAGCAAATCTGAAGGCTTATATAATCCATCCTGAACAAAATTTTGATTGGAATATCCTCACTTTTTTATTGAGAAAAGGTGATATATTTTATGACTAAATTTTTAGGTGATTTTATTATGCTATTATAGAATTATAAACTGGTAATGTTTATAAATTATAATTTAAGTGATTCGGCTCCACTTAGCATATGTGCATGTTAACATGAAATATCCACCTGATTACATCCCGCCATAGTTTTCCACTAAATAAGATCCGAAGTGCTCGGCTAGTTTCTAATTTTATAAATTCTTAGCTCCAACCAGCACTGGAGAGAATTGGGACAAAATATTTTGGGTACCAATGGACACTCTCATTGTTAAATCCACAATGTAAAATATCATATCAACTGAGTATAAAACATAATGAATAACCAGCCATTATAAGTAACAAGCAAAATACAAGGCAAGGGAGAGACAATCCAAGAGATTCATGAAAAACGACCCAAACTCAACAATTTAAGATGCATTCAAAATTCAAATTTTCAACAAAGAAATCTTTTTCTAAATTCTCCTAAAATTTTTTCTCATATCGAATGCCAGACAAAGACAAAATGGTATAGCTAAGAGGGTAAAATGTCGATTTGCCCCCAGCCTAAGTTTGTGCTAAGCACTGGAATCCCCTAAAGGTGGACCCATGATCCATAATCAAATATGCTAATCCGACTTCAAATAAGTTTATAAAAAAATTTCCATCCCAGACAGCATCCGGAAACCAACCAAAATGCACCACGTCACTTTTTTGCTCGGTACCACTCGGTATCGGATGACGTGGTGCATTCTGATTGCTCCGGATCGTCTGGTGTACGCAGAAAATAAATTTTCCATAATTTGAGCAAAAAACCATGAAGAGGGCCAAAGCTATCAAGTCAGTTGATTTTGAACTGTATAATCTCTTGATGACGCTATTTAAAAATAGTGATTCTCAAAGGGTCCACTGTAAAAAGACATCGTTAATAGTAGGCTGTGGTTAAGAATAGTGAATAGGAAGTACAAACTGTTGGATCAAAATCCAAATTACAGTGTGAAAAATATGAGTTTTGAATTTTAAATTTATTTGGATAGATAAAATTGTATTTGAAAAATAGATTCTGAATTAGGATAAATTATGCAGTGATTATATTTTAATTTGGAGTTATCTAGTTTGTTATTTGTAAATAGAATTCCCTCTTTTCTGGAATTTGCTTAGGATTGGATAATGTTAGACCGGTCCAATGCTGAACAGGTCCAGCCGGCCCTAGGCAAGGAGTAATGATTCCGCAAGGTTACCGAATGCATTCGGAAACCAATAACAAAACGCCACATCATTAAAGTGCTCGGTATTGTGCTCGGTACAGACGCTCGGTACACTCGGTATGCTCAGTATTTTTACCGGACACAATAAAAATTCCTAGGCAAGGGGTCAACCCAAGTTTACATGAGGCAGGCCAAGCAGGTCCAGCCCCTAGGAATTGCCGCCCAAGCAGTGGTGGGGCCCACTAGGAAATCCCATTAGGTAAGGCGGGGGCGGCTAGGGATGTGGAAGATTTTGGCTCATGTGTTTTGATTGTATGCTTTAAGTAAGAAGAAAATATTAGGGTTAGGGTTATCAAATAATTGTGGTTGTTTTTGTGTTTTTGGTGTTCAGCATCTTGGGCTCTAGCAGCATCTAGGGATTGAGAGAAATAGATCCTCCTCTCGAATTGAGGATCAATTGTATCTTAGTATTTTCCTTTCGTTATATGTGATTATTGCAATAAAACTACTGCCTTTTTGGTTTTTCCTCGGAATTTGATGGATATTCCGCTGTTCTTCCAAGATTAATAGGTTTTACTTGAGATCTTCACGTATTTCCTATCAGATAAATATTTAACTTGCCTTATAGGCCAAATTATGCCATTAAAATTCAATCACAAGTTTCCCAAAATCCTTTCTTCCTCACTCATTTGCGTAGTAGACTTGGTTCAAACAATAGCCCAACCAGCCTGTCACCAGCAAGTCTCTGGTCATCATTCCAGTAACATCCAAGGTCGTCGGTCACCTGTTATGGTTGTCTCCATCACTTTCAGAATCTGTTCGAGTGTTCTAATCATTTCATGATGACCATTGGCTTTTAAGTGGAAGTTCCACCAAGCTAAAGCACGGTGGCTTAATCTAAACAGGGCAAATGCCAATTATTATACCGATACAAAGTGAGGTACATCTATAATTGATCGATCCATGCATAAATTTTCTCAGCGTCCCTTGTCTTCACTTTGACTTCCACTTTAAAAGTAAATCTTTCATTCTCAAATTGATATCCTCTTCCTCATTCATATCATCTTCTTTGCTTATCATCAATATTTGCCTAACTTGCATTTGTTGGTGGGATCTAAAACCAATAAGACGAGTAGAGAATAGAATCAATAGGATTTGTTGTGGTGGTAGTGATTTGCATTGTCATCAACCCCATCATCGGCAATTATTCTAATAATCTAGCCAATTTGACTGATTTCTTTGCGCTGAGCACACCTATATTAATTTACATTCCTCGGTGCTAACCTTTATTATACATATCATCACAATATTTCTAACTTCCATGATATAATTACTAAAAACTACAATGGGATTTTAAAAATCTTATTTTGCACACAAAAGAAGCTTCAGCATATACCTGTCCCTTTCATGAAAAGGAAAAGTGGAGTTTCACAAATTTCTCCCCAAGGTCGGTGAGGGAAAAAGAAGACGCAGTTTTCTTCATCAACCATTGCATCAGAACCATGGGATTGAACCTAAAAAATAAGCAAAGCCAAAGGAAAATTATGAAACTAAATAGTGTATTCCATGTATTACTTCAATAAAACCAAAAAGATGGCTCTCTTCAAGCTATTTTGATACATATTCAGTATTAGCATTCTCAGATAAAAAACATCAAATGTTCTATACAAAAACTCCTTGGAATCAAAATTCCTGTTAATATGGTATTTTGATGCAGCCTTAGTATTTCATCAACAAAATTATTCGAAATAAGGACAAACAGAAATCAGTTTTTAATAAATATAGAAACCTTAAAATCAATAAAAAGGGCTTATCCCAACTATTTAGTGGATAAATACCTAATTATTATCCTAAAATAAAAGGAACACAAAACGACAGAAACATCACGAAACAGATGTGGTGCTATAAAATGTGTAGTTTTCTAAGAATTTTGCATTCATTATGTAAATGCATTCGCAACATTCTAGAAGCCAAGTGCCAGACAAAAAATTCTATCGACAGAAATCATAATTCAATAACCAAACCTCGGATAACACAAGCTATGTTCTTTTTAGTATATTACAACCACTCCTAGTTTTATTTAATTACAGAGAAGTTGCTGGCTGTAAAACTAGCAATTACCCATAATGTAAAAAGTTTATTGTCTGCTAATAAAGATCCAACAATTAATACCATGACATTTTCTGCAGATCATATTACAAATTGATTCACTCTGATAGAAAACTCAAGATATGAGGACACGTCAAAATCTCAAAAGAAAACTACTCAATATACAGTTAAACTATATTAGGAAACAACAAGATGACTAGCTTTACGTGAAAGTTCTGCTCATGAGGTTTTTTATTTCAAAAATTAACTCATAAGATGCCCGCACAGGAGCAATGAAATATTTCATGCTCTTCATCCACGCATTTTGAAGTTGTCAGAAAATACCTGATTGATGGCAAAAAATTTATTACGATTTTTATTCTTAAAATCAATCTGAAATAGGTAATTATGCAATTGAATTCAGAAAGGTGTGAGCTCCTTACTCAACATTAAGAATATAAAAAATGTAAATGCAAAAAGTCATCATTTTTAGCCCATTAACCAAGTACGCTCCATTTTTTGTTTTTAGTAAAGACCTAACTAATAAGAAATTAATCTCTATGAACTCAATCAAATACCACCATTATCATTAGATTTATTCTGACTAATCTGGTCGCCATTATCATATAAGAAATGGCCAATTATGCACAATTTTTGCCCATCATTCTCCGGAATATATCAGACTTCAATAATTTGTGAGTTCTCATTATTCTCATTGATGACCATTAAGAATAAAAAAACATAGATGCAAATATTCATCTATTTTTCCCCATTAATTAAGTTATCTTCATCATTTTCATTACATAATGTTAATATAAATTACTGTAGACGTGTCGTGACATGGGCAGTTCACTTGTTCACGTTGGTCAATGCTACAAACAAAATATAGAAAATGGTCAAAATGATGGACTTATTGTGGGGATCATTTTAGTACCATGTTATTTAAAATATTCAATTTAAACCCTTGACATCTCAAATATAATTCAAAATAGTTCTGCAGATAAAATTCTTGTTTAATTTGATGGAAATTTCATATAAAATTTACAAATGATGTGGAGAAATAAGGTTTCACGTAAATCAAGATGCATAAAAAGATTGTTTGATGACCATTAAGAATAATATAAACATAGATGCAAATAGTCATCTATTTTTTACCCATTAATCAAGTTATCTTCATCATTTTCCTTACATAATGTCAATATAAATTATTGTGGATGTGTCGTGAGATGGGCAGCTCACTTCTTCACGTTGGTCAATGCTACAAACAAAATAGAGAAAATGGTCAAAATGATGTCTAGACTTATTGTGAGGATTATTTTAGTACCATGCTATTTAAAATATCCAATTTAATCCCTTAACTTCTCAAATATAATTCAAAATAGTTCTGCAGATAAAATTCTTATCTAATTTGATGAAAATTTCACATAAAATTCACGAATGATGTGGAGAAATAAGGTTTCATGTAAGTCAAGCAGCAACAACAACAACAACAACATCAAGCCTTTGTTCCACTACGTGGGGTTGGCTACATGAATCTTTTTTCTCCATTATGTCATGTTAAAAATTAAATTCACGTTTAAATCTAATAAAGAAAGATCATTTCTAATATTTTCTAACCAAGTCTTTTTAAGTCTACATCTACCTTTTTTAAAATAATTCAAATCTAATAACTCTACTTTCCTAACCGGGACATCGGAAGGCCACCGTTTTATGTGACCAAATCATCTAAGGCGACTCTCTCTAATCTTATATCTTCCACTGGCACTACAACCTTTTCACGTATATGCTCATTTTGTATCATCTCTCTAAGGGTAAAGCCACTCATCCACCTGAGCATCCTCATCTTTGCAACACTTAACTTAGTATTATGCTTCCCTTTTGTTTTCCAAATATACACTCATTCCTCATCACATTTATGAAGTTTAAGTAAATTTTTTATCAATAAAAAAGTAATTCTAATTATGAGATTAGTTTGAATCATATTTGATAAGCCAAGGGGCTAAGTTGGACACCGTCAAAGACAATGCATAAATACTAATATGAAATCTGAAAATAGAAGCCTATCAAAAATGATAATAACTAGCATATTTCTGTACAACAAATATCATTAAAATGCCCCTTTAATGAATAAGCCAAGAAAACATCAGTTTAAAGCAACGAAAAAGGAATTTTGAAAAAGGATAACTCACCACAAAGATTTCACGCTTAAATTCTGTGGCCAGGCTCTCAATTGCTATGTCATCTCCAAAAGCTGCGGCATGGCCATCTCTGTTCTCATCTACAGTTAACAGGCCCTCCTCAGTATATTGTAGGGTGATAATGTCATATTCATCCTCCGAGGAGCCCGAGATGGACATGTATTTAGCCCAACTCTGCCCATCATTTACTGGGATGCATCTTTCTTTGTAAACAGATTGAGCAGCTACTTCCCTTCATCAGAAAATCAGCCAAGATTATAACTACTAAATATTAATGCTATTTAATGCCATTGTCATGCATTAAAAATTATATATTCCATTAAAAAAAGAATTGCTACGCATTTCGAAATGAGAAACATCAAGATAGTACAGCAGAGAGAAAAGAAAGAAGTTCTACAAAACATTGTTGATAAATTTGTTTCCAAAATGAAACAGTAAAGAGATTATAACAAGAGATAAATACCACGAAGCAAAAATGAAGATTCATTTATATGTGAGAGAATATTTTCGAGATCATTGGAGATTGAATTTATCTTATATAATATAAGATTCAAATTTTCGTTAACGAAATAAAATCCAAATGAAGTAAGCCCTTCGAAAGTGACAGATAGTATAAAAAGAAAGGTAAGAAAAATCAAAGTATGAAAAGAAAAGAAAAGGGGACATGAAATCTACCTTTGTAGACCTAGATCTACAAGTTCCTGGATAGCAGAGTCAAGCGCCTCGCGATCCGCCTTCCTAGCGAGCAGCTTCACCTCCTGAACAACATGGATTCCCCATCCCGCTTCGAGATCCGGCGAATAGAGGTGACGGATAGCAGCATCGAACGCGTTTCTACCCGACCCATCGTTTGATCCGTGTTCCTCCAAGAACCGTCTCGCCGTCCTAAGCCTGAGCTCTCTGGCCCCAACCTTGCTTCCCATTGCCCGCCTCACCGCGGTAAAAAGGCAATTCCCATCCGCCTCCACATCGCCACCGTGAGAAAGCCTGAACGCCATCCCCTTCACCACCGCCCCTTCTTGAGGATTCTTCCAGTAAATACCCCTCGCGTGTATCCTCTCCAGTTTCCGCCGCTGCTGTTCCTCAAGCCCTCTTACTGCGTCCCACCCCCCGCTCGAAACCGATTCAGGTCCCAACCCCGCCTCCCGCAAGCACGAATCCGGCCAAGGTAGGAGTAGAGGAGGGGACTTCAGGGCTTCGGTGACAACCGCCGTATCGCAGAACAATTTCCCCATCACCGGTTCTAGGGTTTCCCTCCCCCCTGCTCGGTCCTTGCGCAGAGGAGAGAAAATTGGGAGAGAGAGGGAGAGAGAGAGAGAGGAACGTTTCCGTTATAGACCGGGCGATGTGGACAAGATGCCACGTGGAGCTATCTTGTACGCTGCACAGCGAAATGGTGGTTTAATAGGCCGCTGGGACAGGATAAGAAGGTATCCGTTGGAGAGGCAAATTGTCCTATTGGGTGGAGAACGTGTTACAGCTGGCAAGTTCGATGAGGTTAGCGGTCAGTACTTTTGACAGTTTGACTGAACCGACCATTCCACGTGTTTTTTTTCTTTTTAAAAATAATAAAAATCCTACCATACATTACGAGTTTCATTTATATGTGATATATTATTATTATTCAGGAGAAGTCTTAGGACATCTCCAACAGAGAATTCTATTTTTCACGGTAAAATATAACAAAACATCAAAATATCCTAATTATGTTCTAATTGAACTCCATTTTATGTGCTTCTACGAAGGTAACGATCATTCTCCCCTTTCACGCATTTTTTTCGCCAAATTCGATTGAGAGAGCAAAATAGCGTGGGTGAACAATGTAACGCCAATATTGACGTCGCAATGTTCACCCGCAAGTAAATGGCGGAACATTTGGCGTTCGGCTGGAGCGACTGAAGGACGTCATACGCACGTTTGGAGTTCGGTTGGAGATGCTCTTAGAGATTATTTTAGGCTGCGCTCGGGATAATTTTTTTACTATTGTTTAAAATAATTTTTTAAAATTTTTATATTAAAAAAAATTAAATATATATAATATTTTAGGACATAATAAGTTGACTGAACGTTCATAAAATTAACTTTGCCAAAAAAATTTTGATGTACAAATTATAAACAACATAAAAATTTATAAAATGTCTGAATTAGGAATCAACATTCCAACAACAATAAGAACATTGTATTGAAAATCACATTCAGATAGAGAGTGTTTGTGAATTAAGCATTAGTCAAAATATACATAATTAAATTAAATTATTCATTCATTAATTTACAAGTATTTTAATTTAACAAAATATACAAATATAATTAATTTGATACAAACAGTTTGGCTAAGTTTACATGATCAAATAGTAATCTAATTTAGTATACCTTGCCATACAATAGTCATCTCCAATTCTTATTAATGAAACATCCACCAAAATCTACCAACACAACTGCTATGTAATTCTACATCTACTCAGTCAAATACTAGCTAAGTCACAACTGTTATGTATTCACTCTTATGCACTAATATATTGAAACCCCTTCAGTAAAAGAAGCTAAACTCTTAAACATCGATGTGCCTTTTGGTATAATTGTTAGAATTTTACTAAGAAACTTTGCAATTAAACGCGCTCATCCTGGATAAATTCTGGGATGGGTGACCTCATAAAAAGTTATACTAGCATGACAAAATTATGAAACATAGGCCAAAGTGGACAATATCTCAATAGTTAATAGTTTGGACTGTTACAAAGTTGCTCACCTATCAACACTTACTAACTCATTTGTATGCTCAACTAATTATTTATATCTTGTATCTTACTCATTTTTAACTAACAATTAGATTAATTTGGATCAAAATGTAACTCACAATAAAACCATTTTTAACATATGTCAAAGGGCCATACTTGACCAAGTTAGTGAAGAAAATGAACATTAGTCCCTCAAAGGCAAAGATGAATTCCCCCCCCCCCCTACTTTCTTTTTTCACTAGTAACTCGAGCTTATGACGAAGGCATGCAAAAATCTTAGAATATTATAGAGTTATTAGAGGTTAGCACATCACCAATCACTAATGAAACAATGGGTTAAAATTGATTAAGGACTCTAAAGGTGGTAGTGCATAAAATAAGAATGTAATTTATATCCTAAATGTTTAAAATATCATATTTATATACTTTAAACTAAAACTTTATATTAATAAATCGCCAATTTTTTAAATTTTGCCCACACATGTTATCATTATTCGTCTCTACTCTCACATACTCAAAATCTCAAAGCCCTCGATGACCACAAAGAGGAGAGGAGGTCATGACAGGATCTTACCTAGGGATAGGCATTGATTGGGTCGATGACATGTGAAAGACCTTCAAGGATGAAGAAGCGAATAAAAGATTGGTATCTCGCTAAGGAAATAACATTAATGAGACTGATGACATGGAAAAGAGAAAACTCTTCACTACTCCTTATGACTTAAACTTCATAGGAAGGGTGTGGATGTCGGTTTTTTCTATGGTATTAAAAATTTTGAATAATTTTTGAGTAAATATGGAAACTTGGGTGTTTAATACATAAATGTGATAGATTTAAGTGTTATGTTTGCAATTTCTCCTAACAAAATATTAAATAAGAAATATTACCTAAATATGATGAAGTAAATATTAATCTTTTAAATAAGTGTGAACCTCTATAATGCAACTTAAATAAATAACTACGCAAACTAGTGTCTTGGAACCCGATCATATGTGTTATATAATGAGCAAAACAAAATTTGAAGATAAAAATATGGAGGACTTGATCATTGCAAAATAAGCTAAACTCAAGTAAATCCTCTATTATCATATCCTCTTAATCAATAATCAACACAAGATAAGCAAATGGTTAAATTAAATAAAATCAAGCTCAAGTAAATCTAGTGATGTTTAGGTCAAGCAAGTGCTAAGAAATTTTTCAAACCCCAATGGACACTAGGATATTCAAGCCAAACCCATACATGCACTAAGATACTCAAGTCCAACCTATGGATACCTCAAATGTTACAAACTTCACCACACTTTTCTCAACAAGTCATTCAATGTAATATATGTATTGACGCCCTGACCATTGATGCCTAACAATTATTACACTCCCCTTGATCTCTCTATCACTTAAGTAATCATTATCCCAATTTGTAATAACCCAAAATGCTTAAAGTGAATCTATGTGAAAAAAAAAAAGCACTGCATAGTTGAGCACTCTATTTTACAGTAATTCCGCGGGTAGCATGTTGCACAACGATGTTATATTTTGGGCATCAAGGCATCACACACAAAATTTTTTTTTTTGAATATTTTTACTTTAAATATCCTCGCTATCCCACCACTCTTCCTTTCGTTTCACGTTTCTTACCGGGGAAGGAAAGAAAGGAGAAAGAGAAGAAGGAAGGTACAAGAAGAAAGAGGAAGTTCTTCGATGTGTTTTTGTCCGTTGCTATTATTACGGTTTTTATTCTAATTGATGTAAGTGTCTAAGCTCTTACTTATATTTTCAATGGTTTTGATTTCTATAATTTTTATCTCCCAAAATTAATAAAAATATATTTTCTTTTGATTTATTGAATATTAATCGTGTAACTTTTTGTATATGATATATATGATTCTTATGGACATTTTGACTATAATATTATTGATTCACCAAAAATTTAACAATTATGATTTTTAAGATTAATGAATAATGTATATATTTTCTTATAGTTTATAAATTATTATATTTCATATATGATATTAAACTGCATAGAGAAAATGATATGACTGATATGAGGTAAAATATATGACATTGTATGTAACAAGAAAGGATGGTTGTCAATACTATAATTAATACGAGTTGACTCATAAATCATTAATATCCTGTATATAGGAAGGTGGGCCGATAGACTTTCTTTAAAATAAAGATTCCCGATTTAATCCTGGATATTATCTTGTAATTGATTGATTTAGTGTTAATGGAAAGAAGGTGATGACTCTTAATAATTTACTAAAAGCCATCTATGAATTTATTTAAGATTTATAAATAATAATGGTAAGATAAAGAATAATGACAAATTGGGGTTAAATTAAAGGCTAATGATTAACTAGCAGACAATTGGGGTTAAAGATGTTGAAAATACCATATTGAAGTTGGATGTTATGGCTTGTTATTCATAATTGCATTCATGATTGCATTTATATGATAACATAAGAATTGATTAATGGATTAAATTAAAGTAGGACTAATAGAACCTGTGTTGATACTGATACAATATAACATAACATGTGACAAGGGCATTAATAGATAATGATAGATATATTAATATCGTATATTAATAAGCATACAATATAATATGATATTGATATAACATACTGATAGGATATATTGATAGATAGTTATATATGTCATAATAATTGATAGAAACATGGGATGAAACCATTAGCATGAATATAACTGATAGACAATTAAGACTTGTTTCATTATTCGCGTATTATTTATTATTTATACTGATAGCTTATTGATTGATATTGACTGGAACTTGAGCAAACATATTGATTCTTTTACTTTTTATTGAATGCAGTGAAAAGTTTTGATTATTTGTTGAGCTATATGTTCATTGTATAATTTTTTATATAATTTCATGTAAGGGTAAGGAGCTTGAAGAGTGAGGCTAATTAGTGGGTGATAGTTTAGATTTTATTTTCCACTCTTTGGTTTTATACATTATTTTATAGCATGTTATTGACTATTGTATATATTATTTTGAGAACTTGATAGATATATAAATATTTAATGAACAATAATGTAATTATATTTTTCACTTATATTAAATTTTGGTTGATATATAAAAAATAAAAAAATGTGTAATTCTTTTAATTTAGATTCTATGGAGCCACACAATCATCTCTACTTACAAGCATGCCCACATGTTGTTATATGTTAAGATCTAATTAGAAGGGATTTTTTTCTTATATACATATTATTATTTTTAAAATTTACCAACACAGAGCCTTTCTACATTATTAAAAATAATAATATCAGCATTCTTTCATTTACTTTACTAGACAAAATCAAAAGAGGCATATATAACAATCATGATCTACTCTCACTTTCCACCTAATCTTATATATATTTATCATGATTATAACAATAAGGAGTCTATAAAACAAACATGTATAGCCCAATCCCAATAAGTGTCAGTAATATCTACTCAACCAGAGCTTTATCCTTTTATGAAATTAAAATATACAAGTAAAGTACGAGTAAACAACATTTATTTAGTAGGTTTGTCATGATCCAATATGACAATCCTTATTCCATATAGGTC